GATCTTAAAGTTTTGACAGCTTTAAATATATAATATATGATAATATATATATATATATGCATCATACACATCTTCTAGATCATATTATATCACCAAACAGCCGGTTTCGATCACGGCATGTCACCAGACAGGACCTTGCCGAGGGTCACTGGACACCTCCTCGAACTGCCCAATGCGCGCTGCATGAGTCATGACATAGGTCACACAGATCCGACCCTGCTTGGTGGGACAATGCCAGCCATGGAAGCTTGTAGCTGGGAAAACGATGAGGAAAACCATATGGAAAACATACAGGAACAAAAATGGGAACTCCCCGAAGTGGAGGTTTATGAAAACCATATAACTGGAGTTTAACTCCATAAGGTTAAAATATACATATATATATATGTATATATATATATATCTATTGGAAACCATAGCTGGAAAAATCCATCCAACTATAGGGAACTCCCTCAAAGATGGCCGAGCCGTCCGCGCCTGTCTCAGGGCCTCGCGCGCGCCACGCAAGACGTCCAGTTCGCTACCTGCAACACGATACCGTGGTGGACAGGGAAGATTGACAGCACTGAACTTGAACACAAAATGGGATAAAATTGGTATATATATATTATATATATATATATATTAAATAATAATATAATATGATATGAAATGATCTAATATAATATAACATAAACTAATCTAATATAATATAATATAATATAATATAAACTAATATAATATAATGTAATATAATATAATATAATATAGTATAATATAAAAACATAACATAACATAACATAACATACCATAATATAATAAAATAAAATATATAATATAATATAATAAGATGTAATATAATATAATATAATATAATAATATAATATAATATATACATATACACATAATAGTTTTTACCAGAAATGGAAGTTGTTAACCAACAAAAGAAAGAGGGAATCTAATCAATAGCAATGTGGAGTTGAACGACATCAATCAACGAACAATGGCATAATGGGAGACTCCAATAACTTTTGTTCATGGCTTTCTGAATTAACAAACAGAACTAGGAGGCCCACCTTGTAACTTTCGAGGCCTCACGAAAGCTGATCTCTGCAACTTATCGTGGGCACAGATCTTGGAATCCGAGATGCTAAGGGGAATTCTCCATGCCATGGGGAAATGCGAGTTCTGTACTCAAGGGTTTTGTAGTGGGCAAACTATTTAAAAAAACCATATGATCTGATATGTGATATACGTCTATAATAATGTGACATACTGATATATACATAATATATACATATAACATATAATATATATAATATATAATATACATTATATAAATATAATATACATAATATATGTATATACATAAAATATATATATATATACATATAATATATATATATATATACATAATATATATATATAATACATTATATATAAAAAAATACATAATATACATTATATATAATATACATTAAATATATACATAGTATATATATAATATACATTATATATAATATACATAATATATATATAATATATATCTATATATAAAAATATATATAATATAAAATATATAATATACATTATATATATAATATACATAATATATAATCTATATATATAATATAAAATATACATTATATATAATACATATAATATACAATATATATATAATATACATACGATATATAATATATATATATATATATAATATACATACTATTTAATATTTATATATAATATATAAAATACATTATATATAATATACATTATATATATAATATACATAATTTATATACTATACATAATATATATATATAATATACATTATATATATAATATACATAATTTATATAATATATATAATATATATATATAATATACATTATTTAAATAATATACATAATATATATAATATACATAATATATATAATATAATATATATAATATAATATAATATATATAATATACATTATATATATAATATACAATATATATAATATACATAATATAATATATATATATAATAAACATAATATACATAATATAAATAATATACATAATATATATATATATATATAATATAGATATAATATATATAATATGCATAATATATAAAATATACATTCAATATATAATATACATAATATATATATAATATATATATATAAATATATATAATATACATTATATATTATATATATATATATATATGTATAATATATATATATAATAAATAATATATACATACTATATTAAAATGTGTATATTATATATATATATATAATATACCATGTTGTATTTCCTAGCCCCCAGCCCAACTCCCAGGCGCTTCGCCAACTTTCGCCTTGCACGTGAATCTTCAGCAAATCCACGGGCGGCACATCCCCCAGCAACAGATGGTCCAAAGTTTCCATCCAGACCTCCAGGCTCCAGGCTCGGCTCTGGGAACGTCTGGGGATGTGGAGAAAAATGAGAAAAATATAGAAAATTAAAGGACCGGTTCTGGCAATGAGTTCTCAGAAAAAGTATCCCATTGATTTCATAGATTCTAGAGATTCCAGAGCATCAGAGCATGCGTGATGGGAAGGACACATTAGAATAGGTGAAAGTGTTTGTACCTTATTGTACCATATTTTTTAGGGATATCTGGATATCTGATATCTAGCAACTAGAAGACATATACTTGGGATGTCGAACAAAAAAAAGTTCCACACTGACACTTACCTGGGGTTATCTGAAAATAGGGTACCCCTAAATCTACTGGTTAGTCATCATTCTCCCTATTGACCATTTGGAGTCACAGCCACATGCTGAAGGTCGTATGACACCCCATTCTGACTTCACCTTGACCTTGGAAATTTCTCAGCCCACCCTGAAAGGTAATTTCACACAGCAGACTGGACGATGGGGTTATCTTATGGGGAGATGAATCTGGTAATTTGACAGTTGACAGCAACTTTTAGAGTGGAAACCTTCTATGCATGGGCCATCTTCTATGTCGCTATGTTGCTTGCTGGACGGTATCGGCTGTATTATGTATCTGGGCCGTCATGTCAACTCATGTGCTGAAGAAACCCACCATCACATCATCCAGAACCTGAGCAATCTTAGCTACTCTGCAAACATCTAGCACATGTTTGGCTGCAGTATGTCCCACCCAATTTATGGCAAGCAAAACCAGTACCCAAAGGGTAGTTTAACATAGCTATGAAAAAACAAATGTAGGTAAATCATCTGCAAATGGGTCATTTTCATAGCTATATCATTTTGCCAAAGGGTAATTAGGGAACTAGCCAGCCACTAAATTTCCCGAGTCAATCTTCCGCTCATATCCAGTAATATCCAGCGACTACTGGTTCAATCGCGGAAATGATTGGTCTATATCCCCATCCCCAGAAACCAATTACCCACCCATGTTGTTTCCACTAGTTTGGTTCTATATCCCCAGGTGATATCATACGGATAATTCTGGGTTAAATCAGTGAAATCCCCAACCATTGACAAAACTCATGCGAGCAGTGGATCATATGGATCATAGCTACTCAGGTTAATATAGTAATACAATACTTGAGAGCAGGCGGAGGCGGACGAAAGGTAGTGTAGTGGGAGAGGAGTGGTGTCAAAATGCTGCGCCCCTAAGATGATACACCAAAAACGTTTTTGCGCAGTCTAAGATGATTTTATCCAGAGCATGACTGCATGATACGGTGTCTTGTGCAGCGTGAAATGATGCATGAAAAGGGGTTTATTTAAAACCCCTTTTTAAGACCCCTTGCAGCAACTGTTATTCAAGCTGAAGCATACCAATTATGCTGGACTACAAGGACATCTCCCTCATGGAAAGTGTGCCTCTAATGTGGGGGCCCGTGACCGCGTCACCCGTGGGAATTGAACCCATGACCATTTTAGAGGGGGGGGGGCCCCCCCACCCCCTTATAATCGATATCCAATACATAACGGCGAGAATTCCATGAATTCCACGGGCTGGCCCCCCAATACCCCCTATGATTGTGCTGAAGCACGGAGAACTCAGGTAGCTGACGCTACCTTTCGTGATATTATATATTCTTAAGGAATATAGGATACTACATAGGTAATGATCCTATTATATATGATAATATATGATCCTATTCATCATGGTACTGGTATTCGTTCGGAATCATCTCCGGGGAATCTCCACCCAGCTCCGCCCAGCTCCGCCTCTTGCACCTGCAAGAGTCCCAAGGGATACGATGAGATGCGACAAAAAATAAGCTTCAGACTGCTTCTTTTATCATCTAGCTACACAGAAATAGGCGGTTGGACAACAAACATAGATTCTTAATCATATTTCCGAGAGTCAGTTGGGTTACAATCCGACAACCTCTAAGATCTTCTGAGAAAACAAACTGGGATTATTCAGCAATATCTCCAGGAGTAGAGTTCTGATAGCATCTTATAGGGTCTTGCAGCAATCCTCCAACAGGGTCGAAGCATAATTTACTACAGTTATTATCTACAGTTGTTTTGTGTTTTTTTATTTTTCTATGTTTTTTTTGTGTTTACAGTATATTTTGGTGATCTCGTCAACTGCAGGGATCCAAGCTGCAAGACCAGAGCCAGAAGCTCTAGGTTCTGCAATAAGTCATTCTGCCCACTGATATGGAGGTTTCCTGGAATGGGGATACCCCAAAATGGATGGTTTATAATTTATAATGGAAAATCCTATTCACATGGATGATTTGGGGATTCCGGGATACCCCTATTTCAGGAAACCTCCATATGGATGTAATGTGATTCCTCATTTGTCTCACCTTTTATTAAATACCTTCATGTTCGTTGCGGGTTGAATCTTTGGCCGAACGTGGATACTTCGGAGCGCATCAAAAAACGCAACTGCGGAGCTGTGGCAGGATCGTAGATCTTGAAATTCTGGGAACCCCATTTCTTTCGGCCCAGCCACCTTTTGTATACATATGTATATCATAGACTATCAACATACAAAAATTTGTTTATACGCTATATCATGCTATTTATGTGTATATAATATATATATAATTATTTATATATATATATGCAATATTCTGCAATACATCATATTGTATATTTTCACAGTGTAGGAGATGGTCCCGCCAAAAAACAAACCGCCGCACCTCGCATTCGCCCTGAAAACCATGACATCCCACGAAGGAGGCTTCAGCAGAGGAGGCACGCCGCAAATGGATCTGGGTGTAGCCCACCTGTGGATTTCCCAGCTGTGCATGTTCAGTTGGGATCAAAATTATCTGGAAACAAATTGAAAGCATAGTGTGGATATGTCGTCTTTAAATGTTGAAACACACAAACAAAAATAATGGAGGGGAAAACAATGTCTGATAATCTATATTTTGTCATCAGTTTTTTGGAAATCCTACATGTTGCTTTACATGTTTTCCATGGTGGGTGATATGGGCATTTTCTTAGTGACGGATTTGTCATAGACAAACCTGTGAAAACCATGGTTTTGGTTTCGAAATCCTGGGTTTTCCTGTTAACAAATTCGGGAATTGATTGTTCGATGCCTGACTATTTCGGTATCATCGATTGATGGGTTGATATGGGTTAATCATTTTCCACTTATGGATTGATATCTGATGAGTATCAAATTTTGGTCACTGTTGTTATAAAAAATCACCCCAAATGACCCCCATTGTTTTAAATAGGGTTGCAAGCCCATCCAATGGCAGATAGAACCCTCATAAATTTCCACCCTAAGTCAAAACCAACTTATGTGTTCTATTCTTATGGGGGTGTGTTTGTTTTTTTTATGGATGCCCCTTGTAATATCGGATACGCTTTGCAAACATATGCTAGTAGTTGCTTGGTTGATGCACCATCCATCTGGAAGGTATGAACGTCAACTGGGTTCATTCTGTCAGGATGAAAAAAACCGTAGTTGAAACCACCACCCAAGAATTATTTAGCATTCCTGATGGGGTGTAGTACCATTCCTCACGGTATTGTCGGGGGCACGCCTGCTAGGTTTTTTTTAATGTATATTCATGGGATACATAACTTTAAAACATATATTTAAAAAAGGGTCTAACCGGCCAAGTACATGGATGCAACCAACAACCATTACAGCAAATAAAGGTGACCACAAGGAACGGAATAATGGGGATCACTAGATCACGAGGGACCAACATGTGGTCGGAATGTAAGGCCCAACCGCAAGATGTTCTGTTCTACCCTAAGTGGTGCGGGCCACAGGAAGCTGAAAAAAGACGCGCTTTTGAAGGACTTTTGGCAGCTTTGGAAAAGGATTTGCGCAAAATTCCATCTGCCCAAACATCAAGTGCTCTGCGAGCAGGACTGGGAGGACGGGAAAGAATCGGTTGGGATTTTGCAGCCATCAATTTCCATGGCATGATTGGGAAGACATACCGGTACATATCCAAATAATCAAATATGCAGCAACGCTGGGAGCGAGTCCCTGGGCATCAGCGATGACGACAGTGGGGCATGTCCGGGTGATGCATGCACGCAGTCTGAGGCTGCAGCGCTGGCGCGCTTGGTGCTCTTCTCATCGGCCAGAAAGATACCACCGCGATGGCGCGGTGCCTGCACGACCAGGACAAGGAAAGGTGGTCGGGGGTTGGGGGCGTCCACACAGGTGCGACACAGATTGACTTCACTGAGGTGGCTGGCGTGGAGCACGCTGGGGCATCCGACCGTGTGAACGGTCCCAGCCGCCGACCTCAGCACCATCAAGCCCCGAACCGCAGAAAAGGCATCACCGGCAGCACCAGCGCCGTGCTCCATGTTGGTGGAGGTGTTGTGGTGAAAGTTGTGCGGTGGGGCGGGGGTTTTGACCGTCGATGCGCTGCGACGTGGACAATCAAATCGAACATGCATTGTTAGTTAGATGAGACACATTGCTGCTTGACCTCGTTTGCCTCATTGCCGCCTACATGTATCTGATTCAAAAAAAACGAATAGCCCCTACCAAGGTACAGACATCACAGACTATGGGGTTCTTGGCTTGGCCCCGTGCCATACCAGCAGGACAGAATGCTGAAGCTCAGTTTTGCTGGTTTGGGGCCGCCACCCCGGCCTGATACTAAAGCCCCCTAAAATGCGATGACACGCCCGCTACGCAAAACATTGTTTAAAGTCCCTCTGCCTCAGGGCTCCGGGCCTCTACTTTGGCAATTTTTGGGCCTGATCAAGCCGCTGCCTTCTCCCCGTCGATGTTCTTGCCGGACACAGTGCAAGTGAGGTTCAAAGGATTCAAACGCACCTGACAGGTGGCAAGCAATACCCGCATTAACACGATGGAATATCCAAACTGAAGGGCCTGCACTGCGTCCTGCAATTCGTCCAGAAGGGCGTCGTTCTGCAGAACGTAGTCCTGTCAGGAAGGTATATTTGCAGCCGCCCTCCTTCAAACCCCTTGCTGACAAAGCAAACAGCCGTGCCTGGAGCGGAGCCGGCTCCTGCCAGCAAGGCAAGCGATTCAGGTGCACTTGTCGGTGCACAGTTCCAGGCGCGCCTCTTCCAGGCCAATGTCTGCCCAACGGCCCTTGAAGAGGGTGATGTCTCCAATGCAAGCCATTGCCTGGGTGCCTCGCTTGGTCACCGGAGGAGAGATGAGAGATGGAACACGAAGAACCAATGCCTGGTGATCTGGTGGTGATGCAATGTGTTGTTGGTGTTGTTGGTGATGATGATGACAATGGTGGTGGTGGTGGTGATGATGATGATGATGATGATGATGACTTTGTCGTTGTCATTGTCGTTTGGTGGTTGCTGTGCCTTCGCACTCATTGGTCTCCAATTGTGATTTTGAGCGTGTTTGATCCTGATATGGATGATGCCCTTAGTTGTGGTTTGGTTGCTATTTGCTCTCGAGCACCCATCTCGTGCCTTTGCAGTCATTGGTGTCTGATGGTCTTTTAAGAATGTTTGATCTTGATCAAGAACCAGGTAGCGAAGAAAAAACATATAGGGTTCAAGATGATGAAGAAACAGCAAAAAACAACAGCAGAAAAGCAAAAACCAAAAAAGAAGCTAAGAAGCAAAAAACAGGAAACGCAAAAAAAAAGCAGAGAAGCAAAAGAAACAGCAGAAAAGCAAAAAAGCAAAACAAAACAAAGAAGCAAAACAGCAGAGAAGTAGGAAAAGCAAAAAAGGAGAGAAGCAAAAGAAAAATCAGAAAATCAAAAAAGCAAACAAGACAGAAGCAAACAAAATCAAAAACAAATAAAAGGAGAAAAGCACACAAAAAAGCAGAAAAACAAAAACACAAAAAGAAGCTAAGAAGCAACAAGCAGAAAAGCAGGAAACGCAACAAAGCAGGAAACGCAAAAAAGCAGAGAAGCAAAACAAAACAAAGAAGCAAAAACGCAGAGAAGCAGGAAAGCAAAAAGGGAGAGAAGCAAAAGAAACAGCAGAACAGCAAAAGGGGAGAGAAGCAAAAGAAAAAGCAGAAAAGCAAACAACAAAACTGGAAAAAAAGCAAAGAAGAAAAAACGCAGAGAAGCAAAAAAACAAAAACAACAGTACAGTAGACACACAGAAATCCAAAAAAGAAATCCTAACTTAAAAAAAACTTCAAATAAATGGCATCCAAAAGAAAATAACTGATAAGAAAAAATGGCTAGCAAATCCCAGGCATCAACATCTTGCCTGCTGATCTCCCTAAATCTCCTCATCGCGTGATGGTTCTGCTCCGAAAGCAAGGTCCTAGCGGGCAAGAGACCGGCAACATAGCAATCAAACCTGGAAAAAAAATGTCTACCTCACAGGTTGATGGAGTTGACCTGGTTCCAACCAAACTCTCTCTGGCTTAGTTGATTGAGATTTTGTTTTGGATTTTGGATAACTACCTTGGGGAAGCTACCGTGCAAGGAAGGTTGTTCACGGTTCAACTTTGTGGTCTTTGCTGCTTGCGCGTTCCCTGGCCAGAGGGCAAAGAAGCTGCCACCAGCAAGGAACGGGGTCAGCATGGGTAAGCCACGTAACAAAAGATATATAGAATGTCAGTGTTGCATGCTTAAAACAGCTAAATTGTGCATACGTTTTTGTCGCGCTTAGCCACAACAATGCAGGGCGGCAGTTGAAATCCTGTAGACTCTTGACATGCGGTGCTTCTTTTGTTTCCTTCGTATCCCCGGAAAGTAGACATGTTTAAACTATTTTGCTCATCTAGCTCGAAATAAAGATGGAGATTCTGGAATCGTCATCATATGATGTTAGCAATATGAAACCAGAAGTTGATCGCACAAGTTGTGTTCGTTTGTCCCCTCCCTCATCACGGCGGGAATGGCCTAGCTCTCGGCTTTTGTCCGGACAGTGAAGCATTTCACCCACCTAGCAGAAACGTGCGGAAACAACCGAAAAAGAAACATTCTGCACCGCCAGGGCTAACATGTAACATTCTACGATTGTCTTTTGAAAGTACGTCGTGAATCATGCAGAAATTTCCCTTCAACCTTCACACAACAATTCGACGCGACATCCCGTCCGGCCTCTAAATTGCAATTCCCCCATAGCGTTGCCCCCCCTGACGTCCGAACACAAGGTCCACTTCAGGGATCACCATCTGCCCAAGATATTTTCAAGTTCATCCTTCTCTGTCGCCGAAGCAAGCAGAACAACGGAAGAACCTTCCCATAATGCAATGCATTGGACGGTTCGGCATCTCGTCAGCTTGTGGGTCTCTTCAGGAGCTCGCGGCAGCCATTCCGTAAGTTGTCAGAGCGGCAAGTTGAGATCGGCGCTCAGTCGACCGAGATCAACCGAGGCCTTACAGTACTACCACAAAGACGTCCCCATGTGGACCGCCGAGGAGAAGAGCGGTCTTCTTTTTTCGGTGGCCCGCCTTGTGTGGCATCCATATCAGTATGGGGCATCATCGGAGGGCACCTGCCAACGACCACGGGAGGGGCCCGAGTCACTGTCACTCAGGGTTTCCAGCATAACGGATACCCAACTGCTTCGCATGCACTCAGGCAGTGGATCCTATAGCCTGAGGACTCACGCTTACTTTGACAGTACCGGCAATTTGCCAGCCAGATCTACAGTAATTAGGTGTTGGCTTAACCAATCAGATTGCTTGCTGTTTCTATCACCATTGGTGTTCTGCCATGTTCTATCTCAGCTTTGGTAGTACATCTTCGCCCAAGTTTGCCGAAAACATATCAACAAACTCAAACTACCCAACGCCTCTGATTAAGAAAATTCGGCGAATTCCCCCCTCCCCCAACAACATGATACAAAATGCCCAGTTCTTCAATTCTTCCTCGACTTCCATCGCATAAATTCCATATGGGGGCTTCCTAAAACATGGATACCCCATGACCATGGGCTTCAATACTAAAATGGTCTAATTTTGGATGATTTCGGGGTAGCCCTATTTTAGGAAACCACTGTTTCCATGGCATTTTTTCCGATTTCCCCCTGCGGCCTTCGGTCCAAGGGCGATGGGTTGCACCAGGATTTGAGGCTTCTGCGCCAGGTTCCCTGCCGCATGCTGGGACTGCTGGAAGGCCTTCACCTTGGTGCCAAGGTGAGTTGGGTGATGGATGGTGGGATGGTGATGGCATCTTTTCATGGCCATAACAAGGACACGTCATGAAACATCCCAACATTGAACCACCTGGAGGATTAGGACATGTTCAGTGTTCAGGACAGGATTGTCTTCCAACCCTCTGTGTGATGTTTTGGACAAACTATGTTCTCCTATTTCTAGCAAATTTGGGCATGGTTCTTCGTTGGGTCTGCCACATTCACAGAAGTGACAAGATCCAGTTTCAATTTTTATTTACCAATGATAACCACCACCGCAATGGGACCCCAGCAATAAACAAGACCCTAAATCAAGCTCGGTTACTTGGAAGGATGATTATATTGATTATATATGAACCTCGAAACATAGAAGCTATTCTAGCATATTCTAGCCGTGTGTACTACTGCCCAGAAAGTGGGGCGGAAGTGTGAGCCCCCCGCATCGACTGGACATCTCAGAGTATCTCATATTGTGTCATTGCATAAAATGGGTTCAGAAAGGGATTTCCAGTTCATGGATTATGATACTCCCGACATCTTGCAAGTGTAACACCAACAATGGTTCCGAAAATTATCATTGGTTGCTTATATATGCCACAACATATCCCAATGAATTCCCACTAAATCCCTATTGGTCTCTATAGTAATTGAACATCACACAACAATTCGGGATATAAAACGGGACATTTACCAACCCCTACACCAACTCATGTCAACTTTGATACACCAAACTATTCTCCAGTCAAACCATGTCAAACAATCATATTCCCATTCTATCTCCATTAAACCACCATATACCTATACCAGTTGGAGCAACTGACAATTGATTATGTTATAGTATCTAGTGGAATTCTCCCGTTTTTCATCCCATTGCTCATGTTTGATACACCCCATTATATCTCCATTAAAACAGCATATACAGAATATTTTTGGAGAATCATCAAGTTGGAGCATCCCCCATTTGATGATACCATCCCGAATCATTTGTGTTTCAGTCACTTCTGAAAAATTGTCTTTCCAATTCCCACTTTTTCCACACATCATGGAGATGCCACTTTTCCCTGGTGATCTAGTGGGATTCATCCATTTTTCTCCAGTTCTCCAAGTCCCAGTTGCTGCAGCGTTCAGGGAGACCAACGCGTCCTCGATCGGCTCGAACAACGTCAGCTCCACATCCAGCAGGGGACGCCTCAAAAAAAAAAAAGGATCCATCAAACAAGCGCTTATGATGGTTATAAGATGGTTATATGATGTTGATACCATATCTGATGTTTATATGATGTTTTAATTGTATTCAATATGTTTATAAATACACTTTGAGTGAACATGTGGATGTATGTTCAATGATACCATTCGATGTATCCATTCATCAATGAGTTACCCAGTGAAAGTCCATTGCCATGTTCAATTACCAGAAGGTAGCCTGTTGTCCAGATATGTTCTTGTGCTGATGACTTTCCCTCGCTAGTCATCGTGCATGGGTTTGCCGCATGAACAAGTAGAGAATAGTGATATCAGCAACAAACATGTGTCAGAGAAATATGACGATTCATCAGCGAATGGAATGAGACTCTTCAAAAAACATGTGTCATGTACTGATAGAGTAGAGTCGTAGAGTATTCGGTATTCTTAAGATTTCATATGAGGATGCGAACAGAGCAGTTATCTCCATCTTCCAACAGACATGGGCCGATTGATGTTGCAGAAACCGTTGTTTTTTTGGTGTGGGGTGATAATCTACAGAGGAAAGTGGATCCCAATTCATATTAATCCTAAAGCCACCTATGTAAAACATTGTAAAACCATGTTAAGTGCCGGTTCAAGTTCAGTTTCAAGTTCAGGGTATCAAAACTATTTTTTCTCCAGTCACTCACAAATTCAAACCCAAAGGGGCAGACACATCAAACCAACATGGCATCAGGATCCATATCTCTGGAAAAAATCCAATGTCCGCTTGGCTTTGATGCACCAAAAACAAGATGGGACTCTGGAAAGGTATGTTTATGACGGTTAATTGGTTCATAAAGGCGTCTAACCAGTTTGATCTATCATGATATATCTATAACATAAAACCAGAACTTCTTTGCACCAACTTAGAGTCCGAGTGCCAGGGGTCAACCTTTTTAAACCATTCAACCTCCGTTTCAGCTGACAAACCCTCCATTTTTGACGCTTACTCCCAGTATATCCCAGTATATCTCATGAAAAGCTGATATAGATCCTATTTTCCCATATATAGATCCCAGTTTTCATTATTTTCCTATTTTCCCATACAAATCTCATCAGAAAACCATGCAAATCAGCGTTTTTCCAAACGAACTCAGCTTGCTTCACCGTTACGCCAGGGTACGGCTGTGCACTGCGCAAACCCCAGGCAGCGACGCAGTGAAGGGCGAGGAGACCTCGTGCAGCAGCCGCCAAATCATGGGCATATGATAGATGAGTTATTCTCATATCCATCTATAATAGTATAACCATCTATAACCATCTTTAACCATCTATAGTGAGTTATTAGCCTCATTGGTGTATTGAGGATAGTTATGATCCAAATGAGGGTTCCATAAATGGAGGTACCCCCAAATAGATTGTTTATTTCATGGAAAATCCCATCTAGAAATGGATGATGACTGGGGGTACCCCTATGACTTAGGAAACCTCCCTTTGGGGGTTAATATAGATATATATATATATTAATATGGGTGGAATTTATGATCTGAGAGGTGATTTATTATATCAATTATATCTAACTAATAGTATATGAACATTAACTAATGGTATTTGAACATTCACTAATATAGAAAATGGTAGGTGGAAACATGCTTCTCACTTAACAGTGAGGAGTAATCATTCATGATAAGGAGATATGCCCAAAAAGAAAAATCGTGACTAGGAAATACACTCAAGATAGGTGATTTATATTGATTTACTGGTTGGTGGTTTCAACCCCTCTGAAAAATATGAAAGTCAGTTGGGATGATGACATTCCCAATATATGGAAAGTCATAACATTCCATGGTTCCAAACCACCAAACAGTTTATTCTATCGATATTATATCATTTTTTGAAGATTCAATATTTCAAATATCTTATAGTCATATTATATCCAGTTATATTGCTATATTGCATATAAAGTTATATTATACTTGCTTATATCCAGTTTTCAAATACCACTATATGGGTGGGAATTCGATAAATGGATCAAGCGGATCAAGACTTGGGGATCAACCAACACATTTAGTTAGCTGATGACTCGAAGAGATGAATTTTACCATGGACATTTCATGTGATTTCACAGGGTGAATGGTAAAATGTTGGGACTATTCAGAAAATCATATTTCATTTTGTGTTTTTCATATTTCATGTCATTCATGGTATTCATGTTTCCATTTGACAAATCGTGATTTCATGAATAAATAGTGGAAACATGACGGGTACAAACCAAAAATAGCCGCCGATAATTTCACATAGCTATGGAAAACATGGCCATTTTGATGCATGATTTACCAAACTCAAATATGGTGGTGTTCCATGGCAAACTGTTAGATTGCTGGAGGGTAGTGGGCGTCAACTAGGATAAAAAATACCACTATAGTTGGGTTCGTTACACGTAAAACCCGCACGTCACAAGCTTTGCCTAAAAGAGTTGGAGTGAAGCCTCACATCTCTACTACCTAGTACTACCTACTACTACCTATGACTACCTACAACTACCTACTACCTAATACTACCTAGTACTACCTAGTACTACATACAACTACCTACAACTACCTAGTATTACCTACAACTACCTAGTATTACCTACAACTACCTACAACTACTTAGTATTACCTACTACTACCTAGTACTACCTACTACTACCTAGTACTACCTACTACTACCTAGTACTACCTAGTACTACCTAGTACTACCTACTACTACCTAGTACTACCTACTGCTACCTAGTACTACCTACTACAACTACCTACAACTATCTACAATTACCTACAACTACCTAGTACTATATACCTAGTACTACCTATTACTACCTATTACTACCTAGTACTACCTACTACTACCTACTATACTACCTACTTCTACCTACTACTACCTAGTGCTAGCTACTACTACCTAGTGCTACCTAGTTCTACCTAATACTACCTAGTGCTACCTAGTGCTACCTAGTGCTACCTAGTGCTACCTAGTGCTACCTAGTGCTACCTAGTACTACCTAGTGCTACCAAGTGCTACCTAGTGCTACCTAGTGCTACCTAGTACTACCTAGTACTACTACTACTACTACTGCTACTACTACTACTGCTGCTGCTACTACTAACTGCTATTACTACTGCTACTACTACTGCTACTACTACTACTACTGCTACTGCTACTGCTACTGCTACTGCTACTACTACTACTACTACTAGTACTACCTCCTACTACTATGACTACGGCTACTACGACTACTACGACTACTTCTAAACCACTAACTAACTAACTAACCAACCAACCAACCAACCAATCAACCACCCAACCAACGAACCAACTAACCAACCAACCAACTAACTAAACTAACAAACAAAGAAACAAACAAACAAACAAACTAACTAACTAACTAACTAACTATCTCTCCACTTCTGTACTTTCTCCACATTTTGAAAATTCGTAAAACGGAGTTTAGACCACTAAACTTCCTTTGATAATCTCTATATACAATATATAGTATGTAATTTATATATATAATATTGAATTAAAACCATATTATATTATTACATTTTCTTAAATCACATTATATTACATTACATTAAAATGTATTTCATTACATTGTATTGTGTTATATGACATTAACCTAAAGTATATACACACATGCAATGTTGTACTTTTTCTTGGATGGGATTGTGTTCAAAATTTTGTCATCCAATGCGAGCCACCCTTGTCTTCTCAGTTTCGTACATCCATTTTCCGCTGGTGAAAACCAATATTTCCAGCTCTTTCTGAGCTTTTTGAACTGGAAATATTATAACGTTATTGAACTGGATTTATTGAACACCATATGTAAATCACTATTGCACTGGAGTCCTGTATGATTTTTATATGCCCCCATGTTTGATGTTTTAAAATGATGTGTTCCTACCTTTGGTTGGGAACAACCAATAGTAACCCTTCCGAAAATAGTTTGGGAGATCCTCAAAAAACCGTGTACCGTGTACCATTGTTTTCCCGTAGCCAAGAAACTGCAGTCTCCCATGTTCGCACCAATCTCCCAAACGCGCACAAAGGGCAAGTGATCTTGCCTGGACTGAAGCATATGTCGATCTAATGCAAAAAAGCCAAGTGATATTCTTCTGGTTGGTGGTTTGAACCCCTCTGAAAAAATGAAAGTTGGATGATTATGCCTAATATATATGGAAAAATAAAACATGTTCCAAACCACCACCCAGTCTTGTATTTTATTGGAACAAACGTGAAAATCCATGAAAATCCCCCATTGTGACAGTGTTTACCAGTGTTTATCAGAAGGCGCGGTTCTTGAGCAAATCTGGATGCGATTATCAGCAAAGGCTGGCAACATCATCAGGCCATTGAGTTGGCACTTCCCAAACCACACACGTTGACATGTTGATCTCTGCGCAATTACCCTTTTTTTTCTGAAGGGCTGGTAATGGCAACCTGCTCGCTTACCTCATATCCTCAAGGGCCCCGCTGTACCATGGGACGCCTGCTTGGAAGTGCAGATGGGCAACTCGAGTCGGCCAAGTGGCTTGTTGGGGTCCACCAACTCGGCAGACATCTGTTGTTGCCCCATCTTGCCGAACCTTGGTTTCACCACAAGCCACAAGCGTAGCCACGTGTTCATCATCATGTGCCGCACTAAAGCACTAAACTCTACGAGGTAAAAAAGCAGCTAAACAGCTGTATGTGTGACAAAACCGCTCATGGGCTTGTTCACTGTGGGGTGCCCACGTGAAGGAATTCACATGATGTGGCCCATCTCCCCAGGCACACTCTTTTGCACCCCCCTTGCGGCAAGGGTGATTTTTAATTAGGGTCTGAAATTTGGCACACCTCGGAAGATGGAGGTATATATATATATATATAAACTTATATATACTTATAAATACTTGTATATACTTATGAATACTTATATATACTTATAAATACTTATAAATATACTTATATATACTTATATATACTTGTATATACTTGCATATATTTATATATACTTATATATACTTATAAATACTTATAAATACTTATATATACTTAAAATATACTTATATATACTGATATATACTTATATATACTTATATATACTTATATATACTTATATATACTTATATATACTTATATATACTTATATATATATATATACCCATATATACTCATAAATACTCATATATACTTATACATACGTATATACACACTTATATACACTGATATATACACACTTATATACACTGATATGTACTTACATATAACATAACAAATATATATATAATATATATAATATGTGCATGTGTTATAATCCTTTCGCCAAAAATATGACATGACCCCAACGAGCAGCTCCGAAAGATCGATCCCCAATAAGTTCCACCGAAGCTTCCGCCGAAGATTGCCATCATAGATCACCACAGATCCCATCGTACACTTATGGCCCAAAATACCAGTTATAAGTACTTATCATCCCATTTATAAAATGTATAATCCCATTGAAATAACAACTTATAACCATCAATCATCATAACCACTATTAACCGCTATCAATCACCATAAATCACCAATAATCACCAGTTATAACTAGTAGCCATGGCCATTTCACTGTAATCCTATCGAAAAGCCGAGCATTTTGCAGCAAGCAACGTGGCCATGAAGCCGGGCCAAAGGCAGAAAGGCATCCGTGTGGCGCGGTTGGCATTACCTGAGTTCACTGGCAATGGGGATTTATGATTGATAGGATCATGATATATCATCATTGAAGTATAGGATCCACTATGATGATCCATAGATGGTATATCATGATTAATATAGTGGATATCAATGATGAATATCAATAGTGGATATCAATGATGATATAGTGGTATAGGATCATTGAAGTACAGGATCTATAGATGATTAATATCCACTGGCAATGGGGAGATGATTAATATCCACTATTGATCTATAGATGATTTATGATAAATAGGATCATGTGAATAATCATAACATGGTGACAGGCATCAATGCATGCTCCAAGCGTGAGACACGCAGCAATGGCAAAGTGCAAAAACAAACATAATATGGTGATTAATAGGGAATAATCACCATTTTAGGGAATAATCACCATTATTAATCACTGGTTACCATTATTATTTATCATAAAATGCATCATCACAATAAGATCCTATTTTAGTTGGGGATGGGATCATGTGATTTAAAGCATCTATCTGATTTATTGATAAAACTTAGAGTTCACTATCAAAAAATAGACACATGATCTATCATGATCTATCAGGATATATCATGATCTATCGTTTTTTTGCATATGATTTTTATGTTCTATCTTTTTTGGGGATGTGATACTACCAACAACCTGATGCTAGGAGTAGCAATTAGGGAGCTCACCAGCAAAAATGAAGGATTCACCAGCTGAAACTTGCAAGTTTAAGTATCAAACATTGGGACTTTAAACAATTAAGAATGTGGCACCTGAAATGGGTATAATTGGTATATATGGGTATACCACCAAAGAGTAACTTTGCAGTGATGGGGGAAAATTATGATTAACCAATTGAGATTCAGTGGGTGTCCTATTTTAAGGTAAACCCATATAATTCCATATATAGATATGACAAAGGTGGTAAAAGCGCCGAATACGGACAGGGAAACTTGAGCAGAGTTCATTGAGCAAAAGGACCGAGTTTTCATCAACTATGGGAATTTCGGGATTAAATAACAAGTTTTGCGCCATCATCTGGTTTTCACACAGAAAAATACAGGGAGACAAAATGACTCAAAAAAAATGGGAGATATCTTTCTCCCAACTTTTTGGGCTGTAATCAGTGTCCAGTCATTGAGGTGTTAGGTCACTAGTTGGGTTTGTCAATGGAATACCCTTAATTTGATGCAATTCTCCCCCATTTTCAGTACCCAAGCAGAAAGAACCACTGGCACTATATCCCCAAATCTATTCCCATGATTCTTGGTTGACAAAACCCCCTTTTCACTGGTAAAGTTGGAGAGTAGCGTTGCAGACAAATTCTCAGTTTATCAGTTGTATTACCTAAATATATATATATATACATATCCCCATTGTATCCTTATCATATCACCTGTATCTCACAAACCATCAAGAACAACATGATATACTATATGTTTTAACTGGGTGATATCATATAAAGATATATATTATAAAGATATCATCTACATATCATACATATATATATATATCTAGATCTATATCTCTATCTCTATCTATATCCATATCTATATCTATATCTATCTATACAAAAATACATTTATCATTTGTGATGGGAAATCTCGATTTCTGATGCTTCATGCCTTTTGTTTCACCACCATCCGAGGCGCTCAAGCCATCGTCCATGGGCATCGGATGCAGCTCCAGAGCTGGGATGCGGCCCATGCGCCGAGAACCTCCACGTAAAACGGAAAACCGAAACACCTGGGGAAAAACTGGGAGAATCATCAAAACTCCGTGGAAAAACCATGGAAAATCCATGGAAAAAAACTGGGAAAACTGGGATGTTTCTATTTTCTTCCAGATCCATGTCAGATATCATTCGCATTCGAATCAAAATTCCCGTTCTAGCAATCATTAGTTGATGGAATGAAAAAAATCGGACACATCACAAGGTCCCAAACAAAGTGTTTGTTCACTCACTGATGGGGTGTGAGTGTTTGTTCGCTGCCAGAAATTCGAGATTTTAGCCCAAACATTGATGTCGCGCTCAAGCCCAAACATTGATGTCGCGCTCAACAGTTTTGCGCACCTCAACCTTTTGCAGCCAATCTCTTTTGGTCAAGTAGGTCACCATCTCATTTTGCCTGTTTAAATTTATATTTCATGTGTCGCAAATAACAAAGCTACAGGGTGATGCCCCACCTCGTTATAGATTGGTTTATAACCTTCGATATACCGTCAACCCTTCCTGCGGTTTGAGAGATGTTTCAAAGAGATATCAACTATAGTATACTAGTTGCAAACTATATATATATATATACTAATTGGTGGTTTCAACCCCTCTGAAAAATATTAGTCAATGGGAAGGATTATCCCATATATTATGGAAAATAAAAAATGTTCCAAACCACCAACCAGTATATATATATATATATACATATCAATGGAGGTGTCCTAAGTCATGGTGGTACCCCAAGCTCGCTGGATGGTTCATTTCATGGAAATCCTACAGAAAAAATGGATGATTTGGGGACCCATGTCCAGGCCTCGCCAGGTATGAGGACTTGCCCGATGGAAGAAGGAGGGATACATCTCTAAGGCAGCCTTGGACACGGCTGCCGTCGTGATAGCATGGTTCACAGAAATGACAGTGGTAAATTTATGGGTATGGTATGGCAATATGATGTAATATGATGTAATATGATGCAATTGAATGTAATATGTATATATATATATATATATTGTAAAGAATGATACCCATTATGGTACTGATAGTGGTAACGTTTTGCTTGACATAGCAACGCCATTGGGTGAAAGATCCTGCGAAGAGAGTGGTAAAATAATGCAAATGATTACTGGTTGCTGGTTTCAACCTACCCCTCTGAAAAATATGACTTCGTCAGTTGGGATGATGACATTCCCAATATATATATATATATACATATATGGAATGTCATAAAATTCCATGGTTCCAGTCACCACCAACCAGTGATTACTAACCATCATTAACCATCATTAACAATCATTAACCATCATCAACCATCATAATCCCATACTAAAGCAGCCATGTTCCAGTCAGCACCAAGCCATTTTTTGCATCTAAACGTCTTTGAGGTACCAGCGATACTGTCAAGTTGGACTTTCATTCAGAATCATTCAGATCACCATGGGAGATTCGTCTAGTCCTGGCGAAACCACCAACCTCAAGCAGCACTTCGTAAAGTGAGTGACTTTTTTTGGCCACGGGCCACCTGGCAGAATCAACAAAAAATCAGATATGTCCCAGATATTCCAGTTGCATCCCTGGTTGGTGGTTTCAACCCCCCTGAAAAATATGACTTCGTCAGTTGGGATGATGACATTCCCAATATGTGGAAAGTCATAAAAAAATGTTCCAAACCACCAATCAGATCCAGTTGTCATCAACGACATGCAAACTGCTGCCATTGAACACCTTCACGACGATTTTCCCAACCATTCCAGCTTCATCCGATCAAGCTGCGTTAACGTCCACTTTGACCACAGGATACGAGTGAAGCGCCTCGAAACGAAGCCAATTCTGTGAATGTTAAGACGGTCCTTTTATTAGCACAAATTTGGAATGACCCCATTTCAGCCTGTCCAGAAAGTATCAATCGCTGGGGAATCTTCTCCCACTGCAAAGCTGGAGAAAAAAACTGCAGGTCTTATTATAGATTTTGGATAACCTGCAACAAAAAGCTGGCTAGTAATGGTTAGTATCAATATCACCATTTACAGTGACAGCAAGAGATTAATTTGTACTAAAGTACCCATCCCATCATCTCAGGATTTTTACCGATTCTTTTTGGGGACCGTTTTTTGCAAGACGTGGTAAACAAACCTAGGATCTCGTGCACCATGAGAGCTAGGATCTCTCTACTTCTTGTTGCTCACATGTTGGACAAGATGCCTCAACATCTTAGACATGGTGGGGGCATGAAATTGACGGTTTCACCTTGACATCATCATTTAGGGGACTTGATGATCTGAGGCCTCTCGAATTCTCCAAAACGTCGTGCTACCCAAAAACCATTGGTGAATAGCCATGTGTTGCTGATATCTCAATTTTATCCCCATATTTTCCCCATCCACATTAAACCCCAATTATATGCCATATATTGTTGGTGTATACTATAATTTTGATGGTCCTTTGATCAATGGCCATTTCAGGCACCTACCAGTACGAGTAAATTGGAGGTACCTACCGGGTATATAAGGCCTAAGGGGATCTACCCCCAACATATGGCTCTAAAATGTGGGTCCTGAAATTCTTTCACATCATTTACCACAAATTTAGGCTCAAAAAATCCCATTTTTGATGCCACTCTTCTGGTTGCCATGGAGATTTCTTCAGCGCCTGTAGGAGAAGTGGCAGGAAGGGCGGTGGAGACAACAAACCATGCAGCGGTCTCGGCGTCTCACCTCTGGTGCAACCAACTGGAACCATTCCAGCGACCCAAATTCTGATCGGATCCCCATGGTACCATGATACCCGGCCTGGGAAACCTACAAAAAAAAAATGGAAAATCTACCCATGATTAATGGGAAATCTATGGAAAATCTATGGAAGCATTGGTTCTATGGAAAATCATGGAACATCTACCCATTTTTAATGGGAAAATCCATGAGAAATTGCCATATTTTCAATAGCAAACTGTTAAATTCCCAGAGGCTAATCACCATGATCATATTGCCTTATACTGAAACCTCCATCATCCTCCATCTTTCCATCATTTGACTGCTGAAAAATCCCGATTGTTCTATGGTTGAATCACCATTCAATTCCCATTCAACCATCATGTTTTGGTGGTTAATGCACCGTTTTTCATGGTTAGCCATGATATGGATCCCATATGGATCCGTATAAATCTACGATTAAGTGATCGTTAAATCCACCATTTTTGGTATGTTAACACCTCATTGGATCCCCCCAACACCATGGTCCAAGCCATGCCTCTCCCCTGCCGTGCCTTCCAAGAGGATCTGCTTCAACTTGGCATCGCCCATGCGAAGTAACTGAACCATCTCCCGTTCCTCCACAGACTCCACAGCATACTCCGCGCTACTCATAGTGGTGAACAACAGTTGTATGATGTTCTATGGGGATTTGACCAACATGCGGAGTGTTCTATGGGAATGTCGGAAAATGAAGTTTCTACACTGGGATTGTTCTGGGGTGATTTCGGATTAATCCCTTCCCCCATGAAAAACCGTCCCCCTCAAAGTAATAAACACCTGGAGGAGTATTTAGTATTAGGGTGCGAAGCTTCCCCCTAATACTAAATTAAAAACCCTATAGTATAAAAAACTAATGTATTCTGTTTCAAAATCGATGAGATTTGCTTTGAACATCGAATTAAAATATTGCCAAAAATTGGATTTCGAAGCTTTCCCCTAATATTAAATTAAAAACCCTAGTATAAAAAACTAATTTATTCTGTTTCAAAATCGATCAGATTTCCTTTTAAAATCTAATTGACATATTGCCGAAAATTGGATTTCGAAGCTTCCCCGTAATATTAAATTAAAGCCTTAGTATAAAATACTTTCTTTTCGACCTTAAAAGACTGACCCTAATAAAAGTTCTTACTATTAGGGGGTGAAACCCTGAAATGGGACCTTCATTTTTGATTTGTTTTCGAAAGGGGATCAAATCAAAATCAAATTGGCCAGTCTGAAATTTCCCAAAATTTAACGCGGACCCTAGTTTTTAGTATTTGGGGTACGTTTAGGAAAAGGAGGTGGAGATTACAATGATATGGATTTGAGTGGGGAAATAAACCACATTGAGGTTTCAATTGTTTGGTTGAAGGGCAAAAGTACAGTTGAAACCATGGTTCTTACCCTTCAATGTAAAGGTTTCAACCATAAAACGTCCCTTCAACAAATTCAGGGATACTTTGACATCAAGGGGTTAGAATGGCATGTGATCAATTCCGTTCATGTTGTTTCCACACTAGCATGGTGCTGTAGTCTCCCCCATACTGATCATACTGGCATGGTATAGCCCCACCATGTTTGTAACGGGGTTTGTAAGACTGTAAGAGTCTTACCATATGATATAGACTTGAAACTACATTCATAGCATGATAGCCATATTTTCAAATCTATCATTGCGGATGAAATCCCCATAAATAACACGTTTACATTGATAAAATATGATAAAATCATGAAAAACAGTCACAATTTCGCCAATCAAATAACTCACATGTGGAAAACTCACCATTTCCATGGATAAATCGTGATTTTGCTGATACTCAAATAACATTTTTGTGTGGATAAATCACCATGTTTGCTATGGCTCTACCTCCACCTTCTTAGACTGTACGAGTACTTGAAGCTGCTTTGCAGGGTGAAAAAACACCTTCTGGTCGTCGACCCTTGGAGCACTAGGGATAGATAAACCACCATTTTTTAATGATTTTAATGGATACATCTCAATTTGTCCAGTGATAAGTCCCAATGTTTGCTGGGAAAATCATCATTGTTGCTGGGAAAATCTCAATTTTACATGGAAAACACCACATTTTTCGGGAAAATCCCGACCCGGTCCCGTCCTCCGCCCAGGTGTGACGCCAACGCTCCAGCAGCGCATTGTAAGCGGCCGACCACGGCAACAGCACTGAGGCCAACTGGCGTCGGCTTGAGAAGTGGAGAATTTCTGCGAAAATTTCTGGCCATTTGCACTACCCTCTGGTAATTTAACATAACTATGGAAAATCACCATTTTTAATGGGAAAACTCACTATAAATGGCCATGTTCAATAGCTATGTTATTATTGTTGTTATTGTTATTATTATCATTGATATATCAACAATATTAACAATACAATAAGAATTATTGTTGATTATGGTTATTATTATGGTTGTTATTATTACTATTTATTTTTTTGATATATCATTATACCCATATGCTCCATGTATGGCATATTAATGGTAACATAAAGGGGGCATATTAATGGTAAATGTTACCATATATAGCAGCACCATGGATCCTATGGGTTATGGATAGCAGATGGCATTTTCGTTGCCTAAAATTTATGGCATGAGTTTGTGCCTTAATCAATGTCCACTTTCGAATTTACTGCAATTTTAATGTAATTTCTGGATTTTCTGAACATTTGTGGCAAATGGTTGCCTTTTGATGCATTTTCAGGCAATGGCCTGACCATTTCTATGGCAATTACACAATATGTGTTCACTGTTTTGGAATGTCGTATTCAGGACACACGATATGATGTATATGTATAAAGCATGATGAATCCTGGGTGATATGTTTTTTTTGTGAACGATGAAGCACTTGGACTTGAACCAACTAGTTGAGGTAGAATGATCCATATGTATATATATATATATTATAGACTATATATATATATATATTATATTATATATATATTATATTATATATATATTATATTATATATATATATTATATATATATCATATATATATATATATATATATCATATATTTAAATATCCTATATATATACACATATATATATATGTGTATATATATACATATACATACATATGTATACATATACATATATGTATATGTATAAATATATATGTATACATATATATATATACATACATATATATATATGTATATATATATATATACATATATATATATATATACATATATATATATACATATACATATATATATACATATATATATATATATATGTGTATATATATACATATATACATACATATGTATACATATACATATATGTATATGTATAAATATATGTATATACATATATATATATATACATACATATAGATGTGGATAAGACCTGAAGGCAGCTTTTTCACAAGGGAAGATAATTAGAACCGATGTTTGTGTTGTGTCTCCTGAGCAAGACACCAGAAATACCTTGGGCATCCTGCCGGGCTATCCATACAGAAAATGTGATCCGATTTCCGGGTAGATAGCCTCTCAATATCCATCAACAGTTCCTGGTATCAAAACAACTTCTGATACCTTCGACGAGTGTGGATAAATGGATAAGAAAGTGGTGATCAGCATCTAACTTGGAGAACGTTGATAGTTTGGATAGATAGAAAGGTGCAACGCACCAGGCATCAGTCTATCCTGGCTTGCTCCTATCAAAAACTAAGCCCTAAGCATCAATTTGTAGCTGTCCCATTGCCATGTTGCCCGCCTCCTGGCCTCATAGCTGATCGACTTTGGATCATTAAAGATTTCGAAGGCCAAGTCCTCCGCATGCACTGGGCCCGGGCCCGATCTGCCCGATCTGGTTTCAGGGACTCGGATCTACCCGCTCCGACATCAAAGATCTCATGGAGATCCTATGAAACCTTCCCGTATGAAACATCGAACAAAACTCAGGATCTGCCCGACAGAAATGATCATCCTTTTCGGTTCGACCCTGTTTCCGTTGGATTAGACCTCGTTCAACGTTGATTATTTTTGTCCTCATCTGAATATTACTTCTGAACATTCCAATGTTGGACAAACCCATCTCATACTACTATACTTAAACATATACATACTATGTACAGGATCAATATAAATAAACATGACTCATTATACATGAATATCTATGTATACATATATATATATATGTATATATATATATACACTCCTGCACCACGGCCCCTGCACTTCACGGCACTTTTTCGCTGAAATCCCGTGCCAACTGTTTTGGCAAGAGGCTCATGCCCTGCCTGGGTCACTGCAGTGGGATCATTTTGACCCCCAGCAACTCGCTCCAGTGTTACGGCTGTTCCCCTTTTTGGGGTCTACAGCCCACTGGTCAGCACTATGGCATGGCCTTCTTTCCACGCGCCCCTGTCTGGCTCACAGAACGAAAATGTGCGCGCAAAGCGGCGCAACGGGAAAGGGTTTTGGGAGGGTGAGAAATGGTTGTCAGTGCCTGGAGACCTGCGTCGATATAAATTCTGGCTGTTGGAATGTGTTGCCAACGCCCTTGGGTGACTAGGGTATCCAGAGGTACCCCTTGCCGAAAGGCACTGGTGACACCGCCTCTGCGGAGGCTGTAGGGCATATAGCCCATCCCATCGAGGTGCAAGGCCTCCAAAATATCCTTAAACAGCAACCGGAACTGCGAATTTGAGAGCTGTGACAGGGAGTCACCCGGTTGCAAACCTTGGCACAGAAAATTGAGGGCTTGAATGGGCAGTTTTTCCTCGAGAACAACTTTGTCTATGGGGAGAAAGTTTTTCTTTGTCCCCTTTGTAGTGTCCAGCATTAATACCGCTTCATTGTTTTTCAATGTCTGCGGTAACACCACTTCTTTTCTCTTCAGCTGGACTAGTTCGGACGTTCGAAGGAAAGCCCCAAACCCAACAACTAGCAGCCACCCAAAGCGAAATTGCTTCCACTTGAAGGCTTGTCCCGCCATCGCCAGGAGTATTTCTGGGCTAAGCGGGGTGGCTCTATTTGGCAGCTCTATCTGGTTCCATGTCTTGACCAACTTCCATGCCCACACCAAACGGTTTTTGGTCTGGGGCTGGAAGAACTGTAGTGCTGCCAGGGCATAGGAAGCTTCTGACTTAGGTGCCCCATCCTCCCATAAAAACTCTATGTAACTGGAGGCCAAATCATCCACTTTCTCCAGTTCAAACGAATTCCTGTCCTTTCGAAGCTGGTGAAACTTGCAAAACTTTTCATAACTCTCTTCATAGCGTGACTTTGTTTTTGGTTGTACCACTAGCTGGCTCAGGGGGCCCACCTTTTCTCTTTCTGCTCTTCGGCTCTCTTTGGTATGGCGATGCATCACAGCTGGATAGGCCTTGGCTTTAGCGCGGCCCCTATTGCTCATATCTTCTGCTTGGTTCGTCTGCTGGATTGAGATGTGACTCAATCCAGGCCAAGACTGGATACAGCCCAGCTGCGACACTCATCGCCGCCAACCTTCTGAGTAGCCGATTCAGTTTTCTGCTTGAGGACCGTCCCTTCACACACACGCTGAGAGTGATCTGGGAATCCGATAAATGAAGGAATCGGGTCCCATTGAAATTCTTCCTCCTGAGGCGCCATTCCACACAATGGATCAGGGCCCGGAGCTCCAGGATGTTGATATGCTCTGGAGTTTCAAACGGGTAGGCGTGAGCCACATGCCACTGCCATCTGTGGGGGTTCACGGTGGCCCTTGGGAATGCGTCTGGCCGGAACAATGTTCCCACATCCAGCCTGACATCACTGCCCCTATATTCCTGCCTCCTGACGAAAGCTTGAACCATGCGGACAGACAGGTTCAAGTCTTCCTCACTGATCCCAGCCAGGGCAGTCAGGCTGGCGGGTTGCCGTGGAAGCTCCTTTTGCTCCATTCTGTAGCTCCACACTTGTGTGGCATCTGTTTCATATCCAGGATCTTCCCCAGGAGGGGCCTGATCCAGCACCACTTCTCCGGGACGGCCGCCAATCGCTTGATCTCGGCAGCCCAAGCCTCCACGATCTCATGATGCCCCACCAGGGGCTTGACCCCGTAAGACCAGAGCATGTGATCGAAAAGAGCCGCCACCACCGTGGCATGAAAGGCGTTGCCCACAGCTGCACACCTTTGGTCCTCCAGCGCTTTTTGCTCTTTATCTGACTCCGGAGGCTTGCGGGCCAGGTCAAGTGTGTGCCCCTTTTTGTAACCCATCAGCACTTCTCTCTCGTTGGCATTTAGGGGCCTCAGCCAGCCCTCAGGTTCCTTCACCATGTATTCCCTCTCATAAGTATAGCGGGGGTACCTGAAGCTGTCCTTACGCCAACGATCACGGCCTTCCTCGCTGGTCGAGGCTAGGCCCGCTGGCGCCTTTGGAGGCCTCGGCCGCGGAATTGCCCTTGTGAAGGTCGGGAAGCGCATGCCGCTGTCACGCTCCCCAGGTTCCCAAATGCACCCAGGGCTGAGCACACTCGCCATAGGCTCTGTGGCCGCCCCGTAAATAACCTCATCGAAAAGTCCATGCTCCCTGATTTCCACCTCCTCATGGGCAATCAGGTCCACTGAGAACCAGAACAGCCTTGGCCGTCGGGCTCGGGATAGGTGCTTGGAATCAACCAGCCTCGGCCTCATCTCCAAGGCAATGCTCATCTCCTGAATGTCTACCTCATCAGGTACCACATTCTCCAAAAATCTGATGCACCACATGCCAGCCAGCTTGCTTTCTTCCTTCACCATCTTCATCACCGCTACAGCATTGTGAAACAGCTTACTACGTGGGTCTTCAAGGTGGCGCCTGTCCACTGAGAGCTTGGACAAACCTTGGCAAGGACTGCCACCTCCCACTATGACACCATTGGCATCAGGTATCTTCTTGAGCCACTTTTTGACTTGCTTCCTGTCGATCCTCTCTATGTCACTGCAGAACTCCATCCCATGCAGGGAACCGCCTCCTCAAACAGCGTCTGCAGTCAGCATCTGATTCCACAGCCACTGAAAACCAAGGCTTGACTTGTGCTAGCTCCAGGGCTCGCTCAAGCCCACCAATGCCTGCAAAAAGGTCTATGACCACAACCTTCTGGGGCACATCCCGGAAGTCAGACGCTACCCCTGTGGCCTCCTGGTTCTCAGCTTCCATCAAGTCTTCAAGCTCTTCAACCCCCAGACGGCTCAGACGGGAGGCATAGCAGGCTCCCCCCCCAGTCTCGGACGCATCGCTCACCGTTACCACTGGGTCGATCCGAGCCGTGAGGTCACACACCACCGCAGGGAGCAGACTCTCAAGCACCAACATCTCATCGTACAGCGACGTTGTAGCCCTCACCACTTCGTGGTTCTGAGCTATGGCACCAAAAACTTCCTGAAGTACTGAGAACAAGCACCGCCTGAACTGGAGCACGTGCACTGCCTTACCGGCATATATCTGGAGCCCAGTACGTGGCACTCTCGCCAGTGACCTCAACCAGGCTCCCAGACTCATCAGGTCCAGGCTTCTCTTCGTTGTCACCCTCAGGAGGCCTCTTTCACCATCAATCAAAGCCCCCAGCCTTTCCGCCTGTCTTGTTCTCTCTAGGGCCTTACCGGCATTTGTCGGTATTCCCCACCATTCATAGGCTCGGCGCAGTCTGACCTGCTCATCCGGCGGCTTTCCTTCCAGCTGTCTGGCCACAGCACTCCCGACCTTCTCAATGATCGTCGTGTCGTCTAAATAGATGGTCCACGCCGGGGCCTCATCCAAGGACGGAAAAACCGCGTCCTTCCTGATCTCTGCTTTCTCCAACAGGCCCGCCCCAAAACGGAGCTCAGCTCGCAGGGCCAGCTGTCTGTGTGCATTTTGCATAATGGCCACTGCACTCGACCACCCCATCGGCAAAACGCAAAGTCCCACCAATGTTTCACCTGGCTTGCCTGGTTCAAAGATCTCCCAAGGCACCGGTTTTCGAAGCGCCAGGTAGTTTGGCCATTCCGGCGGAAGCCGAAACAGATAGAAAGCTGAGTTGAGGTCATCCCCACTCACCAGGAGCTCCTCATCAGGGCCCACCATCAGCTTTTGAAAACTGGCTGCACCCGTGAGCGTTTTGGTGTCACCTTCCAGCTGGTCCAAGATGGTGTTGGAGGCCCTGAGGTCTATGATCATCCTGAGAACTGGGAGCCCAGTGTCCGTGAACTTCTCAGGTTTGATGACCCCGAAGGCTCCGTTCAGAACCGGTACTCCCTGAACCGTTGGGCGGGTCTGCACCGGCGTCACCAAGTTGCGCTCCCACAAAGCCTTGACCACTCTGGGCCATTCCGTGTCTTCGCACAGTACTCTTGGCCTCGGTATCTCCTCGGTGATCTCCCTCAGCATGAGGTCTGGTCGGAGTAGCCGGGCTTTCAGCTTCTCATCCACTACTTCCAGAATATCAACCAGCCCCCCGTGGTGGGGAGTGGGGAGACCAGGCCAAATCTGCTCATAAGTCAATGGCATGGCCTTCTCCACAACCTCCCCCGTGTAGGAGACGCGGAGCTTTCCCAGCTCTTGGTCCCATCCTCCTTGTGGAGTCCTGGGTACACCTCCCTTTTTGGGCTTCTCGTCAACGAAGACTTTCACTAGCTCAAAAATTCGGCAAAGTGCCGTCTCTTGTTGCGACGTCGCCCAACCTGCAGGGGGCCCAACTGCGTCTTGGAGACTGCCTCCACTGTGCATCCAGTTCAAGGCTACTACTACCAGTCCATGCCACAACAAAATGCCTTGCCATCTCAAGGCACGGCCCGCCTTTGTTTTGGTGGCCCCCCGACTCCTCCAGTCGCCAGGGCTGTCCTTATATTTTTGGCTGATCAGCACCTCCTCCATGGCCTCGATGACGTCGGGCCAAAGGGGCAGCGGCATGAGGTTTCGAACCCTCGTGCCCTGCTCCCAGATGGGTTTCAGCGAGTTCTCGAGCAGCCTTCCAAAAGGCCCATTTAGTGTCACAGCTTGTAGCAGCACATATTGACTCATCTGGGCGGCCGTCAAGTGGTCACCTGAGTTTTCAGTCAGCCACTGCAAGAGTTCCCTGACTTTCCCAGAGCTCACTTCATCTGCACCTGGCGGGCTTCGGCCACGTGGCCCGACCCGCCCTTCTTTCCGCGGCCCTTTCCCTTCTGTGCTGCCTGCTGCTTCCATTTTTCTTTTCTTCTTTTCCAGTAACCCCCCTTTGGCGCGGGATTCTCGGCCTTCGGACCGGCGGTCACAGGCTCCTCCTTCACGGGGCTGCCTGCTCTCTCCGCGGGCCTCAGAGCTGTCTTCCTGGCCTCTGCTTCCTGACCTTGCCGGCGTATTCCCTCCTCGTCGAAGGTCACCTGCGGGGCCTTCATCTGCAGGGATGGGTTGTCGCTCTTTCCGGAAAACGGTCGGGCTGTCCGAAGTGGGCTTCCCTCCCGTCTTGGTGGGCTCACGGGCCTTCCCGAGCGCGGGTCGGGCCCGCTGCCGAGTCCCTATCCCTTTTCGGTCCTCCGCAGGCTTTCCTTGAGCTTTACCGCCTTCAGCTCTTGCCGTGTGGCGAGCTCTCGCTTCTCTGTCCTGACGAGGGACGCCATGCTCGGGGGGATAACTCCAAGTGGCGGGCAGTCGCCCAGTTGTTTTCCCATAAACTCATCTCGCATGCTTTGTAGCGCTGAAGGAGCGTGTCCGTGGCTTGCGGGAGCCGCCCTGCCAGGATGTGGTCCAACGTTACTGCTAGTGTCTGCAGTTCCCGGACCATTCTCACCCCCGCTTTCGCTGGAGGATGTGCTCCTACTTTGGAGGAGCCTTGAACTTAGAGGGGGTATAACATTGCTATAACATAGGTTATAAGGGCTTTAACTTAGGTTATAAGGCTCTTAAGTTCATCGTAAGTGCAAGTAAAAAATTGTTAGTTGTATCATAGTTGAGGAAGTTATAAGTAGAATTGTTAGAAGTTATGAAGAAGATAGAAAGAAGTTACAGAAGTTACGAAGTGGAGCAAAAACAATGTTTTTTTGATGGTGTTGTGAAAATCAAGGTGAAACTGTAGGGTGTGCCAAGTTTTGGCTCGAGAAGCAATGGCTGCGGTTGAGAAGCAGCTGGAAGCGGCGCAACGCTTCCTGCGCGGTGTTCGGTCGCTTCCGTCCTACGAGGACATCCAGACGAAACAACTGAAAGGACTTTTGCATTGCCTGGACAAGGTGAAGGACCTGAGTACGGCTCAGGCTGGGATTTTCTTGGATGCACTGGACGCGTCCTTCTCCCTGTCGCCTGATGGTTTGGAAGAGGTGATTCAGGCCATGCGGGGTACGATCCCCGCGGAGCCGCACGACGGCTTTGCCAGAAAGTGGGCCAAAGTGTCGAGTATTCTCGCGGACGCGCGAGCCGTGGCTACGGTCGCGGAGAGACGCGTACTGGCGCGTTTGGCCGCATTGCTGCAGGTTGGGGAATGGCACGCTACTGCGTTGGATTGGCCACCACATCCGAAACTTCTCGGTCTATGTCTGGTGACGGCAACGGACTGCCCACGTGGCTTATCCATGGGAATTTCTCCTTTCCGCTGGCCGCTGGTTCCAAGAGGACTGCATCGAAGCTCGGAAAGTGCTCAGCACACTTGCGTGGCATTTCTCCATGCGAGAAAATAGGCAGCGAGAGCTGTGCTGGTGTCGGGATGCTGCCGCCATAATAAATCGCATGCTGCGACGCTGGCGACACGAGAGGCAGTGAACGCACGACGTTCATAGACTCTTGGAGGCAAAAGCCATGGATTTCACTTGACCGCGATGTGACCGCGGTGGACCGCGGCTGACCGCGGTCTGTCAGGTATGGTTTCACTTGACCGCGGCGTCTGACCGCGAAGCGCATATGCCGCTCTGGTGTCCGTGATTTTGACCGCGGCTGACCACGGAACAGACCTGGGGTAGCATGGGGGCGGGCAGTTAGACCGCGGATGTCTGCGGACTGGAAATGTAGGAAGTTTCTATCAAAATACACTTGACCGCGGGTACTCACTGGAATCCTTGAGATCTGCTTCCATGTCTGTTACCGTTTCTGCAGCATTTTGGCTCGCGCTTCTGCGACACCTGACTGTCCCCGTCTTCCCCCGCCCACACTTGCCATGGCTGAGGTGCCTGCAGATGGTGCGGCCACGAGCCGTTGCGGGTTCATGTGGGCTGGCCAATATCGAAATTGGAAGGTTACGCCAAGGGCGTTCTGCTACACTTGACTGACATGGAACTATCCAATCCTGAACCTAAAGAAAGATGGACGGGCCAAGTGCTCGGTCTTCTACGGGAAGACCCAGAGACAGCCCACAAAGTTGGCATGCCTAAGTCGGCATTGTTTGCAAGAGGCCTCGAAGTCGGATGTGTTGAATTTGCGCGCGGCACCTACCTGCGCATCTCTCAAACTACTTCGGTTGAAGTGCATGGATGCGTTGCTTCTGCGCAGTCTTTTTTTTGCTGGTGCAACCACTCCATTGGCATAGTGCATCAGACCATCGCTTTCCTAAGTGGAAAAGAGAAGATGGCAAATTGGCCCTGATGCCGCTGCACATGCTGAAAGGCCAAGAGCCTTCTCGGTTAATTCGAGAAGATGCATCCGGAGTCTGGCTCCTTAGATGATTTCTGCGCGCTCTGCTCGAGAAAAAATGCTGGGACATGCGTGGGTCAACTACAGCCAACGATACAATCATATTCACACATCCTTCAAAAAAAACTTCGGAATCATAAAAAATCATGAAAGAACAAAAACGTTTTAAAAAAACATACTTAAACTTATGATGAACTTACGATGAACTTACGATGGACTTAACATAGCATCTAGATAACTTCTTTATAAGTTCTTGCTAAGTAACATAAGTTCAAGATTCCTCCAAAGTAGAGTAATCTGGTTCAAGTACGCTGTGACTTTCTGTCCAGCCCACTTCGACTCCAGATCGCCCGCCTCGGTCTTGTCCGCTAAGTAGCGGGTCATTTCGTTGAGGGCTAAGCGAGTGAGCTGCCTGGGTTTCTTTTGGGCTATCCTCCAGAGCTCGCTGCCCCCCCGGGCTGGGGCCAGCTGAAAACTCGAAGAGTCGCTCTCCTCCTTTGAGCTGGAGGCTGAGCTTGCCCTTCTCCGCCTTTTGGCGTCCTTCTCCTTCTCACTTTTCTTTTTCTTTTTCTTTGCGCCAGCGTCCGCATCACCATGTTTGGCAACCTGCTTGGCCAAGAACTGACCCATGGTCTCACGCCCACGACGGGGGCTGCGGGACCGATCTTGTCCCCGGCCTCTGGCTTTTTCAGGCTCGACAGCCTCAGCCAAACCAGGATCAGCCTCCAAGAGGGCATCTAAGCCACTCCCCAACCGAGGGGCTGTGGCTTTCTTCTCTCGGGCCGCCCCTGCCAAGAGGCCCTCACCCATCTTTATCCCCATGTCTCGGAGATACTCCGTCTCTACCATGGCTAAGGGTGTCAACAGTCGCCATCGATCCACATGGATCAGCTCTCTGTTGTCTCCCCGAGGCTTCCTGACCTTACACCTTGCACCAGCGCAATCACACACATGGTACAGCCCATTCTCAAGGCCCATCTGGTGTTCAGCGTACCAGGCATAGTACCCATCTGATGACGGTCCATGAGACCCGGTGAACAAACATTTTTCTTTGTCCTCCCAGTCCCTCAGGGTGACCACAGCCCGTCCCTGACTCCGCCACTGGGCATCATAACATTCATATTCAAGGACCCTCTCTTGTTCGAAGGCCTCATGTGCCGCTTCCTGGGCTCGACCCAAAAGATCGCTGCCCACAAACCAGGCCAGATCTCGGTTAGACCGACCAAGGCTGAGAGCCCTGTGGATCTCCTCCTCTGTCAGGCCCAGGCTGTGGCCCTTCGCCCTTAGGCGGTCCATGGCCAGCGGCCAACAAGCCCGTAGGCTATACTCCTTGAAAAAGGCGCCAAGCTGATGTGCTCTTCCCTCAGGCCTGAGCACTCAGCAGGCTGCCACAAAGACTCACCTGGCAATGCCCTGCCCTGACGGGTCTGGGCCCAGGTGAGCCACACTTCACCTCCTGTGAGCCGAAATGCTGCATCGGGGCCATGAATAGTCGTGTATAAATCTCCCTTTGGGATCAACCATATATGCACGAATCTGTGTATATATATATACATATATATATATACACATTGAATATTGATACCTAATAACTTATATCAATATGAATATACATGGCAAAATCAAAATCCATCTGGCTTGGCCTTAGCCTTGACCATCTTACTTGCTTTGGCCAAGGTTTGGGTCAAGACGGGCAACAGCTGCATTCTCCGATTGTTCCCTTTTTCCCAGGATTTGCATATGGATTTTCCAGGTATTTATACAGTTTTTTTCATACACAATATATCACGATATATCCCATCATATCGCCCCAAATCCACGCACCACCGATGAAATTGACCATTTTTGAGTTGTCAGTTCCTGATGTGATCCCCTCCTGTCGAACTCGGAGGTTCGCGGCCATGGGAAGGCCCTCAGCATGCGGCGCAAAAAACCACCACAAAATGAGGGAAGACCATACACAAACTGGGGGTTTACAAGGTGATATGAGCCGTACTGGGCAGGAAATTGTGGAGCCAGCGATTTAGCTGCGATTTAGATGGGATTTATCTCATCAAGGCTCCACATGGTCATTGCATACAGTACCAGCTGGGACATCACAGCTGTGCATCAGAAACCAGCCAACCTCCTGGCAGTGGTTGAAATGGTCGAAACAAGAGGATGACCCATGGGCCATGATAGGCCTTTGGGAACACATAGCTAAGTTGGTGAATATAACTCCAATAACTATGGTTTATGGTATTTATAACTATAGTTACTGCGGCGAATCTAAACCAACTTATATCTTGGGGGCCTCACATTATACATATATTGCAGATACTATATATATATATATATATATACATATACGGATATACGTGTATATATATATATATATATTATCTATTATATATGCCCTTGTCTCTATCCCGCAAGGATTCGACTGGGCGGAATCTAATATCATATTGGCTCATGGCTATCCCCGTTTCAGGATGGTTAAGCCATGTCAAACCATTTCAAACATGTTTATTTTTTCCGGTCTGATCAGCAAGTCTCTTTGTTGTTTTTTGCCTGAAGTAACAGTCGATGATGTGTTGCATTACATCTGAATCTGAAACGTCCAACGCCATTCCGCTCCATAAAAATGCTTGTTCACGCAAATAAATGAGTGAGTAGTAGCAATGGGCAACATTATGTATCAAATCCCACAATCATATATCAGCCATTACCCTCTGGTAATGACTAACATAGCTATTGAAAATGGCCCAGTCAAAATAGCTGATTTTCCCATTAATAGCATGGGTGGATTTTCCATAGTTGTGTAAACGTTTACCAGAGGGTATATGGGCCTGAAAATAGGGAACCAATTAACGTTGTTCCCATCGAAATGGTGATATGAAGGGCCTCATTTTCAAACCTGCCATCCTGTGGATTATGTAAGCCACCAAGATCTGCGAAAAAATCCAGTAATCATATCCCATGAACGTATCATTGAACCATCATTTTGTTGCTGCTTCAAAAAAAGCACCGTTACAACTTAAATCTCTATTTTTGATGGTCAAATGGATATACTCCCATAATATCCTCACTACTATTGGATGTAAATTCCCAATTGTTTGTTGGTTAAGTCCCCTAGTCGTAAACAACAACTTAGCAAAGTTGGTTATATCTCCCATGATATCCCAGGAAATAGCCTGGTTAAAATCCCTATGAATGTGGTAAACTCAATAATAAACCCTCCCGAATTGGAGTTCATTGTGGTTTATTGGGTATACCGTCATCTGGGGTGATTCAACAAATTGACCTAAATTGTTGGTTACATACGGATGGTTTATGATTTTCCCTGATTATACCTCCTATATATCCCAGCAAATATCCACATTAATTCTTGGTTTATACCTTCATGTTTCATGTTTTTTCCCAAACTCATTGGTAGATAAATCCATATTTTTTGCTAAAAAATCCTCCGTAAGTCACAATATGAACCATGTTCATCCATTTTCTATGTACCATAAATCCCTTGGTATCGGTAGATAAATCCTCCATCCCTCGCCTCCAGCAGCTGCAGGAACTGCACTTCGCGGCTGTTCTGCAGCGGATCCATCGCCCAAGGGCCTCCACCCAGGGGATGGGGCCAAGGGCAGCACGGGGGGGAACTGAAATCCAGGTTTTCTGATTTGTATGCGATTTAAGAATCGAAAACTGGGACTTAACCGCTATGAATAAGGGAACACATGTGTATACACTATGATTACCATCTGTTAAACTGACAATTTGCTATGGAAAATCAAGAGTATCATCAGGTAAATCAACGCAAATCATTTATTTTCCACAGCGACGTTAGTTTACCGGAGGGTACAAAGTAGTGCAAAAGTAAATAAATGTATATAAATGTAATGTTAATGTTCCATCCTTGGCCGAGGGAAAGTAAATTCATGCAAATTCCATTCCCTTTTCTTGTTTCTAAAAGTCGCTACGGATTTTCAAGTCCTCGCAACCGGGACGGGTCAAATTAGCGTACATGGACCCCCAAAAATGCAGGGTTCATACATCAATAATCAATAGATTGATTTAAGAGGAAAATCTAAAGGGAACTGTGGTGAGCTGTCATTGCCATCAGCGAAGTCCACGGGACGGCATTCTGAAAAACCTTAGAGCCACATCGATGACCTTCAGCTGCTCCCATCGTTGAACGGGGACACTGGCTGATGGCTGTATGGACCCTCAGTCCGACAAAGTAGCATCGAAGACTATCTTGAGGAAGAGCATACTCACTACTTGGTGGCTCATTCCACATGTGGGTTATATCCCAGTTTTAAGTGGATTAACCCTACTTATCCCACTTATAACTCAGATATAACATGATATAACCCACTTACTAAGTGGGCAAACCCCAAAGCTGTGGTAAGAACTGGGCAGAAGATATGATTCTGGCTCTGGTTGAACATGTATTGAGAACCAACCCTGGATGGTTCATTGCAAAAACATTATGGACGGATTCATTATACATTTTAACATACATTCAAGGTTTCTTCGTTTTATTCAGGGCTCCTATTGACCCTCCAACCTTGCAATTGATCCCTCCTAATGTAGATTACAGCCGAGTGGATCACCATGGATCAACCTCCAGTCATTTACGGAAGCTACCTCCAAATCAGAGATCACTGGATTAGTCTGAGAAGTGGCTTCATCCCAGTGAACAAATCCACCCAAACAGCAGATGGGCATGATGGGGTATCCCCATAATTCCATAATTTCCATAATGCCCATCTGCAAGATATCCCCATGATCTCCCATTTCAATAATTTTAAAAACACCTAAAATGCCACCATTTTGCCCACGAAAAATCTGCAGTTTCGGGCGCCATGGCGGCGCCTGCAATCTGCTCAACCCTCGGGGAAGATCGCAGGAAAACCAGGATAGCACCAAGATGCCACCCGCTCAGCAAGATCCTGAGGATAGTCGCAGCATCTTGTAACCTGTAATTATATGTATATGTATATATACATATATATATATAAAAACATAAAACATATTTGTAAAATGACATGTGTTTGTTTATATACATGTATAGTTATATAGTTATATATAGTTATATATACAGTATATAGTTTAGATATATATATATATATAGTTATATATATAGTTCCATATATATAGTAACATATATATATAGTAACATATATAGAGTAACATATACATATAGTTACATATATATATATATATATTGCATACACATGTATACACACACATCAGCGAGGATTGTGGGTAAAACCATCGCTCTTGGTGCAGGGTCGCAGCTTGCTTTTCTCATTGTCCACAAGTTTGCAGGTTTGATGCGTCGTTTCTGCACGGCCCCATTTCCAATAGGATTTCAAGAAGGACAGAAAAAAGAGATAGATGTGCGAATCAATGACATATGCTGATCTCGAAATGATATACCAGGTGTCTCACTGGCAGGCTGAGCTGCTCCAACCAGTTTGGTTTGTCTGAAAAAATGGGTATCCCAATTTCAATGGATTGTCATGATGTTCTCTATTTCAGTGCCCATTTAGAGATATACCCGGTTGGAGACAACCATATTTATCCACTGTGTTTCTTAGACTGGCAGCTGTCATGGATCATCTATTCATTGGCCCAGATATGCCCAGATCTTCACACGCAAGGGATATACCATAGGTGAATAATATGAATAATATGGTGTGCCTGAAATAGGGTAACCCTAAAATGATTTTCCTTAGTAAAATAATTACCATATTTTCAAACAGACCTGTATGAGCAAACGAATCCTTATGGTGGTTACAGTGTCCCTGGCTGCGTGGCAGATTTTGGGCTGAGCAGGCTGAACCTAATCTTGAACAGATTTGTCCCACATAGAGAAAAGGAGCTTGGGAAATATTGCCAAATAATTCCTGGAGTGGCTCATGGACACTGTTCCCTATGGAGGTTTCCGAGGTTTCCTGAAATTGGGGTACCCCAAATCTTCCATGCTAAGATTTGCCACCATAAACCAGCCATTTTGGTGTCTGCAGTGATAGTTGTCATTTAGGGAACTCCGATCAGACTCTTGGTAAGGGCTTTTGTCGCGGAGCCCACAGTGTCGCAGTGTCGTTTATGTTGGGGACCGCTCCTATGAGGCAATGCCCAAAACCTATCCTTCACTGTGATTCCCTTCCAAGCTTTGGCTAAATCTTTGGGATTCCCCATGCTGGGCTTGGTTGAAACAATGCTGCGGAAACTACGATAATTAATCTGGTTCAAGATAACAATCCTGCTTGCAGGTTTCAACCGCCCTCAGGAATAGCAGTCATTGCGGATCATCATCCCAAATATGGTCAAGAAATGTCAAGAATAACACATGTTAGAAGCCACCAACCAACCAATCTACCTTTACAGTTTAGTCAATGGGGCACAACGAGAGCCCTGCCAAACCCCCAATCTTGCGGCCAGCAGTCTCATCCACGGACACCGGACTCCTGCGCGAACAGAAATTGTTTTCATTTCTGAATAGAGGTTTTGAATGCCTGATGATATATATATATATATCCATATAATATATAATATAATATATATAGTATTAAATATAATATATATAATATATATAATATATATAATATATAATATAATATAATTAATATGATATATATATAATATAATAATATATATATAATTAAAATATAATATAATATAATATAATATAATATAATATATTGTAATATATATAATATAATATAACATAATATAATATAATATATGTATATATATATGATATGTTGGCTGGTCTTACATTTATATACAATGATATACATAGATATGGTATGATTCATTTTTTCGCAAGGCTTTTGCTTTTCCCTGCCTGTGTTTTGCGGGCATGTGCTTCACTGATTTTGGCCGTTGAAAGTTGTGGCTATTTGTGGTTGTCAAAAATGGGTCCAAAAATCACGCCCATCATTCTTTTGGAGGTCGACATTCCAGGAATTGTTAGGATAGAACATTTGGTACACATACATAGTACGCCGTGGTGTTTCCTGCCATTTTCTCTACAATGCTTCTCTGGTTGGTGGTTTCAACCCCATTGAAAAATATGAAAGTCAGTTGGGGTTAGTATTCCCAATATATGGAAAAAATAAAAGCCATGTTCCAAACCACCTCTACATTTCAAGTCCAGCTGCGTTCTCAGTTCATCTCCCAACATCTTGGTACTGCACCACCTCAGCATCAGCAAGACCATGTCATCCGCGTGCTGCCAGGCGTGTCGTAACACGGCTTCAGGAGTCTTGGGGCTTCCTAAGCGGCGCAAGAAACGGCTCTAGAACTTGATGTGGTGGGGTTTGTGGGCTTATGAGATGCGAAACAAGAAAAGGTAGAGTATCTACCAACATGTTGACTTGACGGTAGAAGGGCCCTCAAAAACAATGTACCGCAGTCAACATCCGAGTCTTCCAGAGTCTTCCACCCCACAAATGGAAGAGATTGGAAGTGCTAGTCCCAAGCCGCTTCTACTGGTTGAACCCGCCATTTGTATTGATTAAACATAGCTAAACCATTGCTACACTGATATCTATGAATGATCTTCAACGTCTCCCGCTTGACATTTGATGTGTTGTTTTCGTACTAGCATCATCTAATTGGTTTGTTGTTTTCACCCATTCATACACATCACAAATTACTGTAGTCAATTTGCATCATTGTCCCAGACATGGAAAAAAAACATCAGATCAACCATTGGTTGGTTGGCAAATATTCCTATTATGAGTAAATTGTTTGTTAATTCATAATCCCCAATCAACAAGCCAGTCAGTATATATAGTCCCCTATATTAATCAGGTCAGTTGGGAAGGATTATCCAATATGGAAAATATATAATGCTTGAAACCACCAACCAGTTAATCCATAATCCATCGACATAGGTATTTTGAGTGGCTTAGATGAATCTTAGGACCCACGGACCCACCAACCTCCGCGCCTGCAGCAATGGCTAAGTAGAACAGGGCCGACATCACGGCTCCCAAAAAGCACTCTCCCGGGCGCCACCTGCAGATAGAAATCCGACAAACGTAGCACTGAAAGGCGATTCTAATATCAACCTCCAAACCAATGATGGCTGGAAAATCTGTGGTTTGTAGTTAATTTGCATATCAATCAATATAGTTCATATATGTTCATATTCAAAGAATGGTGATTATCCAACTTAGATTACAAGAGAGCGATTGGAGATGTATATAATGTATCATAATGTGACAAAGCAAGAAGACAAGTACCAATGCCAACAAGATCATTTCAATGTGTTTCTTGCTCCACCAATCTTCAAAACCCTCGGGATCCATTTTGGGCTTTAGCACAATGTACAAAGACGAGGCTGCTGAGAGCTATACAAACGTGACAAAGAATCTTGGAAATTAAGGATGAACAGCAAAGAACATAAAGAACAATCTGGGATTAAACGTGATTGTGTACTTGCTGGTAGAGCCACCCATTCCCAGAGAAACATGCGTGTCCACTATGGAATCATGCTGGCCAGTTTCCCTTGGTATAGCTTACTAAGTACCATATCACTTACCCTTGTGGAGAACATGATTGAAATCATGAGACAATTCGAAATAAGCACCTCTGTTGGTAAAACCTGCTTGGCTGGAAAACATCCGTCATTTTACCGTATTTTACCCATTGGCCCATTCATCATGAATGATTCCCCACTACATCAACCCCTTCGATAGACCAGTTAGACGCCTGGAAATTGAATCATAAGACAAATGTAGTATACACACACACTCATTAAACAAAAAAAAATGGCATCTACACTATCCGGTAATCAAACAAAACGCAATGTTTTTTTTGCATTGGGGTGAAATGGACAAGATCATCTATAAATGGAAGCAACCAACATTTCAAACATCTATAAATGGTAACAACACGGGCAACTGGCAACTATAAATGGAAACAACAGCCACAACAGCCAGTTGCCATGTTTCTATTGCCATGTTGGGTACAGCAACACGTCGAAGTGTCCCACGATTTTCCGAAAATCCAGCCATTGCCGATATGAACTTAGATTATATCACAAGTTGTCCACTATTCAATGGTGAATTCCCTATTTTCCACTGTTAAACCCCGCGCAAATCCGTTTTTTTCATCACAGTTCACAACGTTGCTTGAAACAATTGAAATGACATCTAAATTACATCTTCTTGCCCATTTAATCTATTAAATCTTGTGAATTCCGATAAACCATAAACAATGGGCAGAAAAATCCCAAAATCATGGCCACTGGGTGGGCCATATGTCTCCGCCTCAACCTCTCCGGATCTGGAAGCTCCTGAAAGACGCGAGCATAGATGATGCCCGTTCCTCGGGTGTCACAGGTCGCTTTGGACTTCCCAGACTTCCCACTTTTTGGGGACGAAAACAATCTCAACTTGAGATGTTTTAACATGTTTTAACCATTCACATCCAATGTATAGTCCCCAAATTCTCAACTTCAAACCACTTCTGTTGGTGTCAACAACAACTGGACATCCCCATTTTGTGGGGAAACTCAACTGGTTCACCGAGCATCGCAGATCTGACCAGTCCCGGCCTCGATCGTGGCATCGGAAGATGTCGCGAGGAGCCTGCATCGCGTGCAGCCACGGTGGTGCTATATGATGAGTTTGTGAGGGATCTATGGGGATTGAACCATGAAAAATAGGGATTGAACCATGAAAAATAGGGATTTGACCATGAACAATAGGGATTGAACCATGAAAAATAGGGATTGAACCATGAAAAATAGGGATTGAACCATGAAAAATAGGGATTGAACCATGAAAAATAGGGATTGAACCATGAAAAATAGGGATTGAACCATGAAAAATAGGGATTGAACCATGAAAAATAGGGATTGAACCATGAAAAATGAGATTTAACCATGAAAAATGAACACTGATGACCATTATGGTTTAAAGGCGATGGATCTATGTGATACTAAAAATGGAGATCTCACCAATGAATAATGGAAACCTGTTGGATTTAACTATCAAATCGGAGGTTTGTAGGAATTTAACAATCTTAAATTTGGATATAAACCAACACATATGGACTTTTAGATGGACTTATCTGGGATTTAACCATGGAAGATAGGGAATTCACCACCAAACAATGATGATCATGATATCATGATGGTTTAATGGGAATAAAATGTGGATTTAACCATGAAAAATGGGATCTCACCAATGAAGGATGAAAAAATGGTGGTATTATCTTAGGATATCCTCCGGTAATCTAACACTTTGCTATGAAAGACATGGCCAAAACAGTGATTTTCCATAGCCATCAGTTTACCAGAGGGTCTGTTTGTTTCTTTGTAAACCTGCATGAACTATAGAGTGCGATGGACAGATATATATATATATACTGGTTGGTGGTTTCAACCCCTCTGAAAAATATGAGTCAGTTGGGAGGATTATCCCATATAAATATGGAAAATAAAACATGTTTGAAACCACCAACCAGTATACGTATGTATAATATGGATTGTATTTATCTACCATAATCCCTATTGGCGTTTTTACGGTTTACCAACTCCCCCAACTCAATAGCGGGAGGCACCTGGGACCGTTTTTTTACATACGTCAGGATCATCAAGCAGTGAAGCATGGCCACCATTTATACCAACCAATCAAAGTAGTGAACCACCCATTTGATCATCTACGGTTGACACATCCAAGCAAATCTACAAATCATATGCAAATCATCAATATTCATCACAAACAAATTGCCCGCTTGAGATCTGGCTGAATGGTAGCTCGCTAAAGCTGACATTCAGGTAGAAATCACTCTATATAACTCCTTCCGCCGTATTCAACACCCCAGAAATCATGGGCCCGAAAGAGCCTTCCGCGGATGGCAGCACTCGATGAAACGATCCCCACCTGGGAGCCCGTGACCAAACAAAAATGGAGGAGTTCACCCCCTTCTAAGCTGCAAATCATTCAAGTATGAATCTATAAACCCCAGACTAACCAGACTAATAAACCCTGGTTAATGAAGGGGTTACTCTCCACCAAATAGTGATAATCTGCCAGTAATAACATGCTACCCTATAAACAGCCCAGGCACTGAAGCACTCTTCATCGCCTGTACCAAGGTCCGAAGGCGCCTTAACCCATGTGGACTGGATCTGAGCCGTGTCAAATATGCTTTAAGTTTTAAGTATTTTAAGTATTATATCATATCATATATGTATAGTATATGATCGAACTATAGTTTATCATTATATGATTATGTTTATGTATTAAATGTCTATACATTTATCATGTTTTATCATATCTTGTCGATTCATGTGTTCGTTGTATTAGTCCACAGTATAATGGACATGTCAAATGATCCAAAATGGCCCCTGTCCGATGAGAAAAAACTCTGTGTGCGATGTTCCATGAATTGAGGAATCACAGTTTCCAGGGGGTACCTCAAGTTTCCGGGGTTTTCTGCATGGTTTTCTTGAAAATCAAAGTTTCCATAAATCATTAAGTTTTTTTTTGACTTTCAAGAAAACCATGCAGAAAACCATGCAGCTATTGGGGTACCCATATGACTATGAAACTGAGAACAACCCCACACTAAACCAGGTAAATAAATCCATGTCTATAACTAATCAAGCATCATTCATCAGTAATGTTACGTCCCTATACATTATTTCATAGTAAAAAAATGTAAAAAACAAAAAACAAACTCAGGGTTGACAGTTGAAGTCCCATCTGTATATATATATATCATCTACGATCTTGATATTTGCTGTGCTATTATATTGCTATATATATATATATATTATATTCATTGATAGTTATAACATAATCCAATAGTTACACTCAACAATACTGATATTGTATGATATCATTATCATTTATAGATAGTTAGATATCTATCGTCAAAATGAATTCAGAAATGGTTGATACGTTGATACTATATCATAATATTGATAGTGAACTACATATCTGTCCCCATCATTGATAGTAATTCCCTTTAGATGATAGATAACTATACTATATAGTAATATAAATAATATAATATAGATGTACTGATGTACCCAAAATCTTTAGATGATAGATAACTATACTACATAGTAATATATGATATAATATAGCTTTATCCAACATCTCATAATATTGATAGACCATGAGTTTGGGAACCCCTACTCTGTTGCATGAGTTTCTACGTCATCTGTTACATGGAGGATGTACCCTACGGGCCTAA